ATGAATTATTTTAACATTGCACGTTTGTATTTGCCTATATATGTGTGATAGGTAAAAATACGTTCATTCGAAGCTTTTAGACTACAAAGTGAAACGTTTGGGCGTAAGCGTCCCAGCGTTTACTTTCGCCGCTCCGCATGCTACTCATATTTTTACAGTTTTATTTTCAAAGCTAACGTTCAGTTAAAGTGTAGTGAGTTATTTACTTACAGTGGTTTGTTACAAAAATTTACGTGGAAAGTTCGAGGGAAGCTACCTTTAAACTTGTTTAAGGCTTCTGTGAGTTCGTTCACTACACATTTTTCAATTGGAAGATACTAGGTACAAAGATTGTATTTGGCTTAAACCTTGAGGTTTGGGAAAATGGACCTTCAAAATCCTGGAAAAGTATTGACAAAAATGTTTTACCTTGTGTGTATGAACCCTATTATTACAAACACCCCCATAAACTACATATATCCGGGGACAGTACATATTATGTAGCATCCTATTTTGTGCTACGAAGGGCAGGTATACATAAGGTAGTGTATACACTATATTTCGCGGTGGTTTAATTTTCGCGAGTTTCGCGAACGCGTCTCCGACCGCGAAAATAACACACTAATAATTCATACCGAATAATTCATAATTCACCGACTGCGAAGTTAACCACTCGCAAAATTGTCCTCCTTCATTTTCTTTCTGAGGGAAAACTAAAGGCTATATGCATGAAAAGGATGGGATTGGGCCATTCCAAGATGTAAGCAGTGGATATTTGGTTTCCGTGGCGATTACACCTATGAGGGTGGGCTGACTGAATGCATGTTTGTGCTTGACACTGACTCGCTCATTCATATTGCATCATCCCCCCCACACACACACCGATGTTTAGTAGCATTGCTATGTTTAGTAGCAGTAGTTTGTTGGCTATGTAATTTGGTTCTGTTTGCTCGTTTTTAACGTTGCTTCTCATGTGTTCCTTAGGAACAAAGAAGACACATACTGCTGTATGCTGTACAATGATGAGGTTCACACGTATGACCAGGTGAGAAGTTTAGCTTACATGTTGTCTCTTACGCTGCCAAACTCGGTATTACACAGAAACATTGTGATGGACAGAAACGACAATTATATTTTATAACATAAATTTAATAATGTGAATTCCCGACGTATTTAGCAATGTGATTTGCGGCAAAATTTATAGAGTTTCACGAGCAGAATTCACGGTCTTTTTACAGCTACTCGGGTGGTATTGAATGCATCAGCTGTAGAAAACCAAGTTCAGTTAGCCATACCATTACTTCCTTTTTGTAATTTTTCAAATGTGATCGAAATTAAATTCCAATATTTATGATATAATTTTATGCATGTGGCTGCATGTATTTGCATGAATATCAATGCATCACACGTTTTTCTCATCTTTCTGTGGTAGGTGATAAAGAGCTTAAACAGAGCACTAGACTGCACTCAGAAGGAGGCGGTTGACTTTGCAACGACCGTAGACAGAGAGGTAAGTCGGGGACTAAATTTGTGTAGAGGAAAGCGGAATTGTGTCAGTGCCAGTAGCATTCTTGCAACATCATTGTAGTTATCTTAACACTTATTATATATATGCTATATTATAATATGTGTATATTATTTATGTGTTATATTTATTATATGTTTCTGGACAAGTTGAAGTTAACTTGCTGAACGTCATAAGAGAGAAAATCAAACGTTTGCCTAAAATGGATCCTGCTAGGCTAACATATTTTTGAGTGCTGTCCACTCTGATGATCCATAAAGTATAATATCGATATTAATAACAACTAGAGCACTCGGAGAGCGCAGACCTCTGAACGTAACCAAGCGGGGGGCACGCGAACGTACCAGCGTGGGGGACGGTGAAACGTACTCAGTGCGTGGGGACGGTGAAACAGTAGCCAGCGTGGGGGAGACGGTGAACGGTAACCAGCTGTGGGGACGGTGAAGTACCAGCGTGGGGACGGGACGTACCAGCGTACGTGACGGGGAACGATACCCAGGCGCGATATAGCGCGCCACGGTTGAACGTCCAGCGTGGGGGACGGTAATGTTACCCAAGCGGTGGGGGACGTGAACGGCCGTCACCAGCGGCGTGGGGGACGGTGAAGCGTACCAGTCGTGGGGGCCGGAGAACGTACCAGCGTGGGGGAGGTGAAACGTACCAGGCCGGCCGCGGGGACGGCGAAACGTACGCAGAGTGGCGGGACGGTGAACAGACCAGCGTGGGGGACGGTGAACGTACCAGCGTGGGGACGGTGAACGTACCCAGCGTGGGGACGGGTGAACGTTACCAGGCGTGGGGGACGTGGAAGCAGTACAGCGTGGGGGACGGTGAACGTTACCAGCGTGGGCGGACGGTGAATCGTACCAGCGGGGGGGACACGGTGATTATCGTACTAAGCGTGGGGGAACGGTGACACGTACCAGCGTGGGGGACGGGGTCGAAGAACGACTACCAGCGGCCGTGGGGACGGTGACCGGGTACCCACCAGCGTGGGGGACGGTGAACGTACCAGCGTGGGGGACCGTGAACCCGTACCAGGCGTGGGGCGAACGGTGACCAACGTAACACGTGGGGGACGGTATCTACCAGCGTGGGGGACGTGCAACGTAACCAGCGTGGGGGACGATAACGTACCAGCGTGGGGACAGGTGAAACGCACCAGCATGGGGGAACGTGAACGTACCGCAGGGGACGGTTGAACGTACCAGCATGGGGACGGTGAAGCGTACCAGCGTGGGGGAGCGGTGAACGTACGCAGCGTGGGGGAAGATGAACGTACACAGCGTGGGGGACGGTGAACCCCATACCCCAGCGTGGGGGACGGCGAACTACCAAGGTGGGGGACGGCGGAACGTACCAGCGTTGGGGGACGGCCGAACGTACAGCATGTGGGGACGGCGAAACGTACCAGCAAGGGGAGCGGCGGAAACGTACCAGCGTGGGGACGGTGAAACGTACCAGCGTGGGGGACGGTGAACGTGTACCAGCGTGGGGGACCGGTGAACGTACAGCGTGGGGGACGGTGACGTACCAGATGGGGGACGGTGACGTAACGCAGCGTGGGGACGTGAAGACGACGCCAGCGTGGGGACGGTGAAGCGTACGCAACGTGGGGGACGTGAGACGTACCAGCGTGGGGGACGGTGAATACGTACCAGGCGTGGAGGACGGTGAAACGTACAGCGTGGCGACGGTGAACGTACCCGACAAGCAGAATAAAGGGAACCGACGGTGTTAAGAACGGTACAGCGTGCCGGGACAGTGCACACGTACCGGAACGTGGGGGAAGGGTTGAACCTACCCAAGCGTGGGGGACGGTGAACTGAACCAGCGTGGGGGGCTGTGAACCGTACCACGTGGAGGACGGTGAACGTACCACGTGGAGGACGGTCTGCAAACCGAATACCATGGCCGCGTGGTGACGGTGAACGTACACAAGCTGTGCGGGGACGGGTGAACGTACCATCGAAAGTGGGGGACGGTGAACCCTACCAGCCCGTGGGGGACAAAGGGCGAAATCCGTACAGCGTGGGGGCGAGCGGGAACGTACGGCCAGCGTGGGGGGACGGCTGAATCGTACCCAGCGTGTGGGACGGCGAACGTACCAGCGTGGGGGACGGTGAACCGACCGCCGTGGGGGGGCGGTGAACTACCAGCCGTGGGGGACGTGTGAAACGGTACCAGCGTGCCGGACGGTGAACCCGTACCAAGCCGTGGGGGACGGTGAACACCGTACCGAGCGTGGGGACGGCGAACGTACCAGCGTGGGGGACGTGAACGTACCAGCGTGGGGGGCGGGCGAAACCGCACTACCAGCGTGGGGGAGACGTGACACGTACCAGCGGCGCGCGCAGACGGTGAACGTACCAGCAGTGGGGGACGGTGAAGAACTACGCAGCATGGGGACAAGTGAACGTATGCCAGCGTGGGGCCGGGCCGGTGAATCCTACCACGTGGGGGACCGGCTGAGACGTAAACCAGCGTGGGGGACGGGAAACCTACCAAGCGTGGGGGACGGTGAAGCGTACCAGCTGGGGGAGCAGTGAAATGTACCAGCGTGGGGGACGGTCTGAACCTACCCAAGCGTGGGGGACGGTGAACGATAACCAAGCGTGGGCCGCGGAACCGGTAAGAAGACGGACCAAGCGTGGGGACGGTGATACCTACCACGCCGCGTGGGGGGAGCAGCGAACGTACCGCAGCGCGTGCGGGGACGAAGCGAACGTACCAGCGTGGGAACGGTGACATACTGGCACGGAGAGCGATGTGAATGGACAATCGTGTAGGTCGTGGTCGTGCCCCTTTGGATGAATGCTCCGAGATCAGCTTTCGGGTAGTTCTTGCAAAAGATATGGAGAAGCGTCTCTTGCTGGTTCTGCTCCATCAGCAGACCTGCCCAAGAATCAGCTGCGTGAAACTGAACGCGGGCCGCCGCTTGGCGCCAAAACAACGTGACAGAGAAAATGACAGCCATGCGAACGACAACCAGAGTTGCACATTGCAGCACTGCACCGGAAGTTGCTGTCGTCGTTGTGCAAGGTGTTTGTTTTTTGGTGTTGCTGTGTTGCAGCACTGCATGATTTTGTTCGTGTTGTGGCAGTGTGGTTTGTTGCCATGTTGTGTGTTGCAACACGCATGAGTTTGTTGTGTTCGTGTGTGCCGCCGTTTGCTATCGTTGCATCATGCAATTAGCTGTTTGCATGTTCACGCGTAGCCTGCTGGCTTTGAGTGTCCACATCCAACTTGGGCCCGCGAATCAAACTAACGGCATCAAATCCCACCCACCCTGCTCACAACTCAGCCGCGCGATCTGTGTGCATCTCTACTGCACCTCTCACACTCACCACGTCACGCTCCCTACGATCGCCTCTCACACCACAGCATGCACCTCTCACCTCACCACTGACACGCTACCCTACCGCGCTGGCTTCGACGGGCCAACATGCACCTCTCACACG